GTTAGGGAACAAGTGTTTTGAATGTGATGTATGGTACACGTTAGGGAACAGGTGTTTTGAACGTGACGTATGGTACATGTTAGGGAACAGGTGCTTTGAGCTGGTTCTGACGCTGTTTGTTTGCTCTGTGTGAACAGCTACACATGGTTCGCAGCATGCTGTCCCTGAGCCCCGGTGAGCGTCCCGAGGCAGCAGAGATCACGGGACTGCCCCTCTTCCAGAACCTCGAGCTGCCCTGCCGGATTGCTGTAAGACAACGTTCTCGCACGTATAGCTCCTCTTCCATGGGCCGTCCTTCGCGGCAGACGTCGACGAGCTGAAAACCCGTCCACACATTTTACAAGACCTGGTCCTACGTTGCCTCTTCCTCAACTCTTTTATTTATTTATTTTGCTCTGCCTCTCAAGAAAACCACCAAACCAAGGACTGTGTCTCACTAACGTTAACATTATGAACACAACAGCTTGCACAGACATGTTGGTGAAACTTCATGATTTATGACCAGTTTTTACTAAACGACTAAACGTTTATTTCAAAAGTGACAGCCGCTAAAAAGGTTTTGGACAAAACTTGGCTTGACCTGTACTCGAGTTGTTTTCAGGTTTCTCTCAGTTATACTTGGACAACAGTTACGAATCTGATTTGATTGCTCCTTACAATTAAGGCACTATTTGCTTCATCTACACCCGGGTTTGAAACCAAGAGGACACTCCAAAGGGGCCTTTGATGCTCGATTTACCAGTGGTTTAAACTGTGTACTAGTATGAGCATCACCTGTTGCTTTGACACTCAATATGCCTGATTTGGGAAACCAAAACGACCATCGTTTTATAGTGCTTTGAAAGAACTTTGATTCGTGTCCATCAGATGAGACTTGCCTTTACAAATGGGCCACATGGCCCAATGAATGCATATCTTCTGGCTCTTTTTTTGCATGTACATAATGAAAATACAGAATGAATGTGTTTTTTTCTCCAACCTGCTAATTGGATGCAGCTTTTTTGTGTAAAACTTTCCAAATGACTCTGAGGTGCTTTATTTTCTACCACCTCCTCCTATCCTCTGTACAGAAGTGAAGGAAGAACCTTGTTTGTATTCTTCACGTTGTTAACGTAGACAATAGGTCGGACTCATGTACGTACTGTAAGGCGCCATTGCTTGTGAGAGCTTTTTCTTTTCTTCCAAAGCGCACCTGTAAGATAGTGTGAAATACTGTGAAGGATGAGGAAGAAGAGGTGATTTTAATTAGTTTTTCTGGTAACAGATAGTTGAATGTTACAGTGACCCTCGGAGTCGGATGGTGGCGGGAATTCTTCTCAGTGTTTTGCTTTCACATGTTTGAGGAAGAAAGACGAGAGCTTCGCCCTGCTTAGAAAACCAGAGGGGAATCTGCAGGAACCAGAGTGCCATTTGACAGAAGGTGAAGTGTACTTTTCTGCAACCAGTAATACCTTTTGAAACATTGTCCTTAGGATTCAACACTGTCCTGATGGTGTTGTGAGGAAACAAAGACGCACACATACACACAAACGACAAGTCCTGAGGTCTGGAGCTCTTCCATGTTTAGCATTAAGATGAAGTGAGTACTGTGTTGTACCCCACACTGTGCACAGGGGGCCTGGACCTGACGCTGGTTTGTGATCCACACAACCATTGTTTTATGTGCATTTGACGTGAACAGCCATATGGCCGGACAGGAACTACCAGTACAACACAAACTTAATTATAATTGTGTTTTCTATGATTGTAACTTTCTAAACCCTTTCTCTTTGTAAAGCACTTTTTTCACTTTGCAGTTGTTTTTTTTTACTTTAGTCTTTACTGTGTCTAATGCAGGAAGTCCCATTGATGCTTGTTCCTCCCACTCAGCCTACAGAAAATGAGTCATGTTTGTAAAATGATCAGTTCTCAGCTTGCATTTTTAAGCAAACTGTTCTCCCACCGAGGTCAAAGTGGAGTGTGGAGGTCTGGCTTGATGCATCGTCATAGTGAATTCTTCACGGGTATGAAAAAAATAACATTTAAGAACAGTATGAAGGCTCTGTTATTCAAGTCATTTCTTGTCATATGATATTGTTTTGTAGCATTAATGATCTTTAAATGGGCAGACTGGTGATATTTGTAGAGCTGATGTACTGGTACCTTACGAGTGATGACATCATCACAGAGAAAACGACTGAAGTTCTTCCAGGCAAGGCTAAAGACTAGGCAAACAGGGATTGTTTCTTCAAGCTTATAAAACAACAACTTTTCAAAAATGACATTGATGTGTGGAAGAATGCATCATTAGATAATATTTAACCTCATGCACGATGCCATTAGAGTCTTGCTAATTTCTCAGCCAAGCAACATCCATGTTACTATACGAACATCTGTCTCCTGAGGCAGCTGGATGTGTCCGTCCAACGGGAGCTGAGTAAACCTCTGGACTGACCAGACCATGTTTTTAGACTATCAGACCACCGTGTCTGCCTTCACTGTTTGTTGAGGTTTGATGCCAGCTGGACACGGTTTACGGAAGTTTCCATGTTGTATGTTTGGAACCACTGTGGGAGCTGGGCTTCAAGTCCAACCTGCCCGCCTGCTCACAGTCAAAGTGTTAAACGTTTTTTAGACATGAAAAAATGAATTCAAGCAGCTTGCAGGGAACCTGGGTTCAGTTTCAAATGTGTGTCCACATGAACCAGAGGTGGTGGACTGATGGATTTAGCAGCCACACTCTCTGAATAGTACCATGGATGGTGATGGTTGAGAAAACAGTGATAAATTACAAACTGTTAAGCAAAAGTGTAGAGCTTGGATACTGGCTAATGTAGTTTTCTTTCATACCAGTATAGAATTGTGAGAGAGGCGTTTTATAAGCGTGAATAACAAAAAATGAGCCCTCATTCAGCTAGCTGTTAGCCTGGCCAAGAGGAAGACTCTACCTTCTGGTTCCTCCTGTGGCTCATAAGATGCTGTTGATTACTGTTTGACAGAACATCCCTTAAAATGACCAGGCTATCCCTTTAACAGTTATAATGAACCGGAAAACTGTTTTTTTTTTTTTTTTTGGGGGGGGGGGGGGGTTGTTAGTTTTGTCCTGCTCTTCTCAAGGATCAAATCCAGAGTGAATCATCAAACACGTGCTGGTGGAACAAACAAACGTCAACAAATTGTACCGTTACTGATGACAGCAGATTTCTGACATGTATTAGGAATTTTACAGATATTTTCAGTCAAACCAGGAAAATGAGGTTACACAACGGGCTTTTTATCAGTTCCCCAGAAGGCCGTTCACGTCACTTCCTGTCAGTATCTCATGCCTCTGCCTGGACGTGTGTGTGCACAAATCTGACCATGTTGAACTGTACATATGTTCATTTGATTTATTTATGTTTTGATGCCGTGATCAATCCTTTGTGGGTTGGTATTATAATAAGCGCTTCAGGCGGTGGAGTGCATTAGATAATGACTTCTTATAAGTCTGAATTTAATAAACTGTTCTGTACAATTTTTACAGCTGCGTGTGTGTGTGTGAGTTCAGTCACTGTATTGATGAGGTAAATATTCTACAGATAATCAACAACTAAACAAAAATAGACAATAGAGCGCTGGTAGAGGATAGTAACTGGTGGGGTAGTATCAGAAGCAGAAGTTATTACCTTGACTTCTCAGGAAAAAGGTCTGGTCAGCTGTTGACTCATTAAAATTAATAAACATCCATTTAAAGGATTTTTTTTTATTTTTAGATTCAGCTTTTTGTCCATTTTCAATTCACTTATGTTTATTTATAAAGTCTCAGTTCACAACAAGTCATTTCAGGGCACTATATGTACATAAAATAGAAATGAAAACAGCTGAAACATTATTTTTCCTTAGCAATTGACATTTAAATATGTGAAATTTGACTTTAATAATTACCAAATTACTCGTTGATTCTGTTGTGCTGGAAGACAAACAGAACGAAAGTTACGTATGCAACTACGGTTCTATGAATCCCGGATTCAAAAAGCATTCAATACAAAAACAACTGGACTTTATTTGTAACAGAAGACGTTTCGCTCCTCATCTGAGGATGTTCGAGTAATAATTCCAACGGAGTCACAGGTGTGACACAGATGACCAATCAGAGGCTATATAGCCTGGCGTCATCCGCGGCTCTGTTCCTACAGAATCTTCTCGCGGAATGCAAGGATTCTGAGTGACAGAGAAGCTCTGGTGGTCATCTGGGATTTGTAGAACTGTAGTTACATACATAACTTTTCTTCTATTCATCCCTCCTGACTGCCAGAGGGCGGTGCTGAAAGCACTGAATGACTAATACCAACAATGTCACAAGGAATCCTGAACACATACCTCACTGAGGAGGCCCAGAGGACTCTTGCAGAAGACCTTGGCCCAGGGGATGAGGGGTGGCCACATTAAGTCTGTAAAATCTGGTGACGTGCTTGGGGAAGGCCATGATGCGACAGCACATATTGCTTCCACCGGAACCCCTCTCAGGGCAGCCCAAGAAGTGGACACGCTCCTGGTAGAATGTGCCTTCATGCCGACCAGCAGGGGGCAGTGCCCTGCGGCATAGGCAAGGCAGATGATATCCACAACCATACCATGCCACTTTACTTATAAAGCACTTAAAATGGCTACAAGGCCAACCAAAGTGCTGTACAGACAAAACAGGTAACACACAAAGCAAAATACAAAATGAGGTAAATCAGAATATAGACAAAAAACGATGCAGATAATGACGACAAACCAGTGTGGAGCATACAGGATCAAAACACAGATCATCTGGTGTTGAAAGCTATTGAATAGTAGTGAGTTTTTAAATGGGACTTGAAAACCGAGAGGGAGGGGGCCTGTCGGACAAGCAGAGGTAACTCGTTCCAGAGTCTTGGTCCTGCTACAGAGAAGGCCCTGTCACCTCTGTGCTTAAGACGAGTTCCTGGAACTGTGAGGAGCAACTGGTCCGCTGACCTCAGGGAGCGTGGTGGGACATACGGTTGTAGCAAATCAGAGA